TGATGTTATAAAAAGTGTTACTTTAAATCGGGGGCTAGCAAACTATAGATCAAGGGCCAAAGTGGCCCACGCCTGTTTTGTGCAGCTTGTGAGCTGAGAGTCGTTTTACACTTTTCAATGTTTGAAAAAAATCAAGGGAAGAACAGTATTTTGTGATACGTGAAAATTATATGAAAGTCCCTACATAATGTCCTCAATTTTGTGTCTTGTCCCACATAGCCTATTCACTCTCTGACTCTTTGTAGAAAAGTTTATTGGCTCCTGCATTAGGTGGATATTCAGATTCCTTCTGACTCAGGATAGTTTCATGAAGTCTTCCTAATGTGCTGCATTGGAAAGAGGAGCTGACACAGAAAACTTAAACTTATGGCTGTCTTAAAAATTATATTTGGCATCAAAAGGCATTTGTAGGATATTGTATTTGTCACTGGTTTCCCCTCTTTAGGATGGAGGACAGGAAGTGGGCAGTTTGGGAGTGGGCTGAGGGTGTGGCTGGGGATGAGGCAGGTGGGACAGGAAGAGGCGTCAGCCAGCCCAGGGTGCAAGGTTTTCTCAAGCAGAGGCTCTTGGGCACACTGGGAGCAGCCTCAGGTGCAGGATGGGTTCATGCCTGGGCTGCCAATTAGTGGGTGTCTGGGTGAGGGCCTGTCCTCAAATGTGTCTGGATATTAACGAGGTTGTGTCCCTCAACTGTCTGTGGACACATATGGTGGCTACATGGTACTGGCTGGAATTGGACCGCACTGAAGATACATTCTGGCTCCACCACTTGCTAGTTTGGTGACCTTGAGCTGCTCACTGAACCTCTCCAATTTAGTGCAATTCAATTCACCAGATGTTTATGCTGGACACTGTGCAGAGAGCTATGTCCCAGTACCTAGCACAGTTTCTCTGGCTGTAAAATGGAGATAATCCTTGAGTGCTTAGGAGGCGTCTTACTTAGGCAAAGTGGTGCACTGTGGGCATGTGCTGAATGTTCCTTTTCTTACCCTTTCTCTTTCTCCAAACCAAGGTGTGTGTGTGTGTGTGTGTGTGTGTGTGTGTGTGTGTGTGTGTGTGTGTGT